AGCCTATACATGTCCCACTGGTGAGCAACGCCCTCCTTTGTACAGAGGGCGTAGTCCACCACGCGAGCCCACTGCGGATCGGTAGTCTTCACATATCTTTGAAATATTTTTTTGGTCATTATTCAAAAATACACAGGTTTCTTCACGATGGTTTCCTTCACCGCTGAGCACGTGATTAAATTGCAATTAACAATTACATTGGTGCAAACACCGGAGTTGAACTTAGGGTGCCCGAAAACATTGAATTAGAAGCGAGCACCCGTAGACGCCCGAGATAGCTATCACGGCTCGTCGATTGGATCTGATTCCATTAATTCTATTCTGAGCCCAATGAAGCCGTTTACGAAAAATTTATGAAAAGACTTTAACGACTCGATAAATTATAATTTACTACGATCTGGATCTTAGATAAAAATGCTTTCATTTATCTTCCAAGACGTCACCACCGATTAGGATGTTATGAATCGCCGTCGCATATGATTATTATTTAATGTGCATCGATAAAATTATTGCAAACACGGAGACCATCGGAACGCATGTAAGAATTCGCAATTGATAAGGGAAATATCGCATATTTCAAACGATCCGTTAACACGGGAATTATGAGACATATAGATATACAGAGTATAAAGATTAGATCGATAATTACATTAAAATTTGTAGAAAAGTTTAATCTTAAGTGCAGAGACACTATAAAAAATTACAATTTCGAATTTTCGATAATTACATTTTACATTCATTCATACATTCATAATCTAATATATAAAATTCTCGTGTCATGGTGTATGTAATTGAAGTCCTCCGAAACGACTCGACCGATTTTCGTGAAATTTTGTGTGCATATCGGCCAGGATGGAGAATCGGACAACATCTTTCATTCGTTAAGGGTGGTCCACCCCTAAATTTTTTTTCTACCCCACAATTAATTTATATGGCAAAACAACTTTTGCCGGGTCAGCTAGTTACAGTTCGAGACATTAGATCTGGAAGGGTTAATTGTAAAAAATAATTATGCATATCCACCGATTTTATGAAGGCTCCGTGGCGCAGTTGCCAAGGCGGTGGCTTTGGCGACGGTGTTCATGGGTTCCAATCCCACAGGAGGTGATAACTACGTTAAACGAGTTACAAGTTAGATCCACTAGCTATGTAAAATTTTTATGGGACCAAATGCCAACTATTCTGTATCAAACTAAAGAGTAATCACGTAAATCGAATCATAAATCTAAACGTAATCGGTGTAAATACATCGAAATAAAAATATACCAATTGAATTGAGATCCTCCTCCTTTTAAAGTCGGTTAAAAATTATTTGTGTGACACACATAATTGTTTCGGATATGGGCGTTGATCCGTGTAAAATTTACGCAAGTAAAACGTCTTTACAACACAGTACAATGTTATCCTACGTAAGCGGACATTGTTTTTGAAGACTACAATAGATCTTTCTTGGTTGCAATGGTAGTTGGGACTCTCGGGGGGAAATCCGCTATGGATACCTGGCCTCCCAGATCCGGGGAAGCAAGGTGATGTCGGTGTTCGCCATCAGCTGTCATGTGGGGTCACGGGTTCTCCATTTGGAACACTACCGCGGCCCCCCTTACCTTGGCTAGAACAGCCTCGTCCCGGCAACATCACTTCACTGCACCCATCCCTAATATGCCAGCACGAAGACTCAAACCTACTTCAAACTTACTTACTTACTTGCCACTCCACGCAGCATACAAACACAACCATCTTTATCCATCATTTTCCAACGCACAAAGCAGATGTTTTCGATGTGAGAAACGAACTTTTCTTCAATTTAAACTTGCTTATTCTTTCACTCGGACCTTACGGGCGTTATAGATGCCAGGGGCGGCGGTTATCGTACATCAGGTGAACCGACAGCTCGCTTGCTACTTCCTCACACAATAAATGTATATTAAATTCTTATTTAATAAAAACTGCCACGGGCGCTCGACCAAGCTTTCGTTAATTAAAGTGTATTAAAAAGGGCCAGAGTTCGAGACACGTTACGACGTATGGAGTCACGTTTTTTTCCTTACGTGCCGATTTGTAACCGCGAGCCGCGTCAGGGAATTTCGTTTCAAAACAACGTTCCAATAATTAAAGACTTCAATAAAATGAGCTATATTTTTGTGTATGAAAAAATGAGGTGTACTGTTTAATTTAAGTGCTTAAAATTAAATAGCGCTGTGGAAACTTTCGGTCGATATTCGAACATGCGTCAGTACCGAGTTTATCACTGTCTGCAATTAGACAGAAAGTGAATTTATCGATAACTTACGATACTCAAGTAGGCAATGTATGATGCAAAGGGCAAAGGGTTTTTCGTAGTAAGTCATGATTTAATCTTATTTCAAAATTATATTTTGATACACCTTGGAGGAAGCTAATAGGTTTGTCGGTATCGAATTACAAACTAGAACCGCGCGTAATAGTGTTGTTTGTCTCATTTTCCATGCAATATTTATTCGAAGACACGATCCGGACAGATCGGCATGACAGATACAAGTCAATATTGCAACTTTTATGTTTTTCAAAAATACACAAGGATCTTGAAGAAATAAAACGTTATTAACCTTTCGATCGCTATTGCCAATAAAATAAATACGACCTAACGAAAAAAAATCAATATTATTTTTTTATATACGCATAATGGCTTTCGAAAAGAATCAATGTTTTTATTTTTTTAAATACTTCACATTTTTGCAGAAACATTGAATGGCGACAACAAACGCTCGCCAAACGCCAATTTTTTGACTCGCCCACCGCTGACAACTGTCAAGACTAGGATTAAAGTTATGCAGCATAACATTACATGTTACATCCATAAAAAACTAAGTTTAAACAACATCAAACATTTTGTAGTAACTCTAATAACCCTAATAACTTTGAAATTTTCTTCTTTCAAAATTTCTTTCTTTGAAATGTTTGGGATATTGGTTAGGTTAGGCACTTGCAAGAAATATTCGGCTATTATTCGGCGCCTTTTATCATATTCGGTCAAATACCGAATAGCTAAGTACTATTCGGCCAAATACCGAATAGTTGTTGCAATTAATTGTGAGATAACAAAATGTTTAATTTTCTCACAGTTAAGCTGGTAAAATGCATAAGTAACAACCCATATTATGTCTTTTCTATACCGACGGTATTGATGTCTCCGTAGTGCAGTAATCATCGTATTGGCTTCGGCGCCAGCGGTCGTGGGTTCGATTCCCACACGAGACAACTATTTGCGCGACCCATAGATGATTATTTATTTTCTTTTTAGTTATACAATTTTAGACTTGGTGCTAATACATAATAATGTTACAAATAAGTACAATAGATCAATAGAATTCGTCATCGTATACACATAATTTTAAATATAAGTATAATTTGGTTATATTCGCAGTGTGGAGACTAATTTTTCACCATTTTAAGCTGTACATACTTCACTCTTTTGTTCATCACGAAACATTCGGATATTTTATTTTGATGCTCGGGCAAATAGGTGGTGTTTTTAGAGGTCATAATCGGTTACTATATATACTATAAGTTAGATTTTACGCAATTTTACTTTTAAACCAATCAAAAGGTAGGAAGTATGATAAAGTGCAATTTTATATTAGCTATGGGTACAAAGTTACAAAGTAAATTATTCAACACATGCAGCGCGGCTTGGAACGGAAGTGAGTATAGGAACGAACAGTAAAGAATCATCGCGGCACTTTAGTTTGCTTAATATTCGACTATTCGGCTAAGAACCTCGCCTAATATTTGGTGTTCGGCAATTTGCCAATAATATTTGCTGCTAATCTAATAAGTAAATCTTTACATATATAATTTTACTGTATGTATCATGTCACTGAACTCCACCTAAACGGCTGGAGCGATTTAAATGAAATTTTTTGTTTGTCTTCAGGTCGATTCGAGAATGGTTTAGAATTTAGTTTCACTATTTGGTCCACTACATTTTTTTTTTATTTAAGTCGTGTGTACAGGACAACGTTTTTTCGGTCCGCTATTATATATTTAAAATAACAAATATTGTATTTAAAACATGAATCTATTTCTTCATTTACAGCATCTTTTTAGCCAATCTTAACCTAACCAGTTAAACTATGGATATTTATTTACTATTTATAATGATATTAATTTTTCATTTAACTCAATGATTTAATGTATAACTGAATGTAAAATGAGACCAGGAGTGCTAAAACTTAATAGTTAAAAAATATATTACTAAGTTAAGAGCATAATATATTTTTTATATTTAGCATAATATAACATAATGCTTTACTATATGAATTTACATTAATTGAGTATTCAAAATCTCAATTAGAAAATGAGAAATGAATTGAGGAAATCTATAATGTTTAGAGAATATTTTGTAATTTTTTTTAGTGAGAGGGTGGCATGCGAGCTGGAGGATCACGCAGTGTTGAGTGATAGGCGTAGGGTTGTAAATGTGTTGCCAACTTTTAATAGAGTGGGCTTTTAAATATGTTGCTATCACAGTATTAAGTGAATACCTAGTACAAATGCTAAAATTGCGTCATCATGATTGATTCTAAATATGTTTAGCCCTAAATCCCAACAAAGTACCATCTCTACACCCTAATGGAGTGAACAGTGACATCAAACTCTATCCACATTACACTGAGCTTTTTAATCCCAATGAGATAAATGGTGTTCTTGAGGTTATAAGTGCGACCAGACTTTTGCATATATAAGACGGATATCTTGTGACGGATGTAGGAAACAATACATACACATTATTAATTGAATAATTTAGATAAAAATATATTTAATTAAATGATTACTTGACAATGCAAATCAATATTGATGTTAAGTGTGACAATGTGCATAATATTCTATAGAGATGTTAGTGATATAAATATTGTGGCATTGTAAACTTTGTATGTTGGTCTCTAACAGGCTAAAGTGACGAATGAAGGATTTTTTTTTCAGAAATAAATAAATAATTCATAATAATGGTAATTACTCACATTTCCATTGCCTCCCCTTATGGCCACCTTGGCATTATGTGAAGCCAATGACATAAGAGTCCTGAATAGACTCATTGTGATGAACTTTGCCTGAAACAGATAGAGAATAAATGCATTTTTTCATTTAATTTAATTACAGAAACATTTTGTACACATGTATTCACATTATTATTTAAGATCATGAACCTCCTCGTCAATGATCTTAAATAATAATGAGTTCAAATAAAATATTGATTGAAAATTTGGTAAATAAATACTAAACCAAACAAAGCAATGGTTTATTCTTTACAGTCTAAAACCCTATAATATTTTGAAAACCTGCTTGATATAGATTGAACTCATTTTTGTGAGAAATAATATCCTTAATCAAACTGCAGTTGAATAGGTAGTATGATATTGTATCGCATAATATCGTTGCTAGAAAGTCTATCGAAATTTAGTTCCGAGTGTACTTTATAACATAAAAGTTTGAAGTTATTTATTTAACTAAAAACTTTAGTAAAATTATCTACAAGAAGTAGAAATAGTCGACATATTATGGTTATGGGCACTACAATACAAAGATGGCCCCTCTAATGTTTGTAAAGCAGACGCATGGTCGTCGTGTATTAGAAATCAGAACATAGCTCGTGATTTAACTAGATAATGATGCCAACTTACGACAGAAATAGCGCAATAAGTACTTACGGACCCGTCCCTAGGGCTCAATGCGATTAAAATATCAATGCTTGTTCTACGGTAAAAATTGTGAAATAATATTTCTATCTAGTTCAGTATGATTAGAAATATAATACACCGTTACGTGTCTTATAAGTATAAACTCTGTCAATTTGAATAAGACGGTAGAAATAACTTACCTAGAAAAATATTAGCCCAAACGTTAGCGCCAGTTTCCCCAAAATGTTCCCTTTTTTTAATTCACCGAGAATATTTTTTTGCTAATTCACATAACATTTTCACATTAAGAGTTTAAATATATATGAATATGACCAAATTTTTTTCACGCTAGAAATAATTTTTTAAATTTTTTCTTAATTAAATATTTAAATTAAAGTAGGAATAATTTAGAAGAAATATGCGGAAAAAAAGATCTAAGAACTAAACACACGCAAGTATCGGGTGACTCCGAACCTGACAACTGGTGATGGTGAATGATTTTATGATTTAAGATTTTTTTTTTGTTTTAATCGTGAACGTGAACAGTAAACTGACTGACTGAATGAATCAGGATATTGAATGAATGAATGAACCATTCAATGGGAAGTGATGGGTAAATCACTACAAAACTAGTTTGTGAAAAATGAAAAACGCTAGGTATGTTTATAAAGGATATATACAAATATCGCTACCGACAATAACATACTAGCTTTATTTTAAAACTAATTACTTACTTTGAAAAATAGTTTATTGCGTAATAATAAGTTCGCGAACTAATCACTCACTCACCCTGATGAAGTACCTCCGTTGAGTCCGAAACTAGTCGGTACAAACACCGGTTTTACGTGAGCTCAGTCTTCTTCGTATTACGTTAATAATGTCTCAAGAAAGTTTTAATAATTTTATATATTTATTGCGCTTAAAAATAAACCTTAATTTACTGTGAGTGTGTATTTTCTATATTTACTTGCATTTCTTTTATTTTTGTCATGTCTAGAGTAGGTAAGTACTGGTTATGATACCTTTATATGCATTATGTTAATTGATTAGTTATAAACATGTTTCGTTATATCTACAAAGTGCAACATTTATGGTCACAGCTTTTGGACATAAGAAATCACAGACTATAAGTTATTTAAGTAACAAATATTGAAGTGTGTTATTTTGTCTTATAAAGAAAAAATGCAGTTTTCAATGCTTTAAGTACATTATTGAACACAAATATGGATCAACACTTTTAACTGTGAATGCGATTCCGCGTCCCCGATACCCTGATGTTCCAGGTCGCATCTGAATAGATTTTTTGTGCAAGTGAAGTTCGCTATTTTCCCCTTGATTTCACTATGGGAAAACCAAACAACGGCTACGAAGCTCTTCCGCCACTAAAAGGCGGGAAGCAGGCGGAGGCGATTTAGGTTCGAACCTAGACTTGGACCGTAATCTGAACCTTGCAGAAGAAATTTGGTTGAAATGGCGTTTTAATCACGAGACATATCGCTTACAGTAACCGTTAATATACGAGAATTAATCTCTGACGAGAAGACAACACTTTCACGAACAGTTATTTCACGGAAATAAATAGTTATTTCACGGAAATAATAATAAATGAAAATATACTTTCGTATTTAATTACGTGGAGATTGAACTGTCGTATGCAGTAGTAGTTATTACTAAGTGATAATTCCATTTAATGGGCACTTTTATACTAAAACCGTTTCCACAAGGACTACGCAACTGAAAAAAGGATATTGATTAAGATTAAATAACAATTACATAGAACCCGACGACAAAAACCTTTACGCGATGAATGGTAACCAAATCCGGATTATTTTTTTATTCGACTACAAATTTAATCTAACACCCTAGACGAATGCATCATAAGCTGACGGATCGAGGTCTACCCATGCTGATCTTCCAACGAAGCTGTTAAAGCCGCGTGCTAATAGTAATTAATAGCATACTACACTTTAGACTCACAAAGAAAAAAACGATTCCGCCCTGGCCTATTAATGTCAACAGTGACATTGACATTAAAATCATGTCATACGAATGAAGTATGAATGAAATGTTTTGATTTGACACCGACAGTTAAAATAAATGTGAAATGTGAATATGTAATGAAATGAACACATTGCAACGTGTTTTTTATTATCTTGAGAAGAATAATCTTTTATATACATCTTTATAAAATGAACGAAGACAGTGAAATGAAGCAATTTGCCGAACTAGGCATTAAGACGTGGCTAACTAAACAACTCTTAAGCCTTGGTGAATATATCGCTTTAATAGAACGAGTGTGTTTTATATTTAAAACGTTTAGTGTGATAGGGTTATAGGGACACAGCGGCTTCTGCTATTGCACGAAGGTTTAAGATCGTCTGTAGAAGTATCACGGCTTCACAGAAGACCGGCGTAAAGTTTTTATCTCGTCTGGTGTGAGGTACCTGGGGGACTACTTTTATAAAGGTTGGCAACGTATCTTCAACCACATAGGTGGTACATATGTAACTTGAGGCGCCGGGAATATTACGTGAAACACGCAAACACGAGACAATTTGTAATTTTTACTTTAAACAGTATTTGATTATAAAGGAATGTAAAAAATTAAAATGTGTTACATGTTAAATGCAGAGATTAGCACGAAAAATTTAATAAGAATTAATTTAAATGATTGCCATTTGCATCCACTGGTTGCCTGCATATAATAGACACACATTTTCACATAAAAGATAATTCAAAGAATGATGAAAATTAAAAGATCTATTATAATCAATATTGTATATATTTTTATGTTTGATGTAGATTTAAAATATTGTAAGTACACTAGACTTACAATATTTTAAAGAAATTTAGAGTAGAATTTATTATTCCAAATATTTACATAAAATTCATTGCGTGTCTTATTTTCAATAACTATTTTCTTATAAAAAAATTCAAAATGGGTATTATGTTAAGCAACAAAATATGTGCTTACAGTTTTTTTTTGTCGAAGTTAAACATTCAGCATAATATTGTTTTACTAAGCAAGTGATTAAAATTTTTTATCCTTTTAAGGTATAAAAACCCCAACACCAATCCAAAGAGGCTGTATTCCGGATATCCTTGCTGGAAATGACTGCATTGGAGCTGCCAAGACTGGTTCAGGCAAAACATTTGCATTTGCTCTCCCTATATTACAGAACTTAGCTGAGGATCCTTATGGGATATACGCTCTGGTCCTTACTCCAACACATGAATTGGCTTATCAGGTAATCAAAACATTTCACCTGACTCAAAACTTAAATGTGCATTAAGTATTTCTAAATAAGCAGATTACTTTTATTTATTAATACAGGCTTCAGCGATTTGTGTTAGAAATTAATCTTGGAAATAACTTTGATTGATATTAATCTTTTGTAAAAATCCCACTATTTAATGCTACATTAGGCATTTTTGTTTTTCTGTTTGAATTCATTAACATTTATATTAATGAAGACAAGCAAGTCATCGAAAAACAGTTATTTATTTTTATGGGATTTGCATGCTTATTCTGCAGCTAGGACTTTATCTATAAATATTATTATTACATATATATTCAGATAGCGGATCAGTTCAGTATACTGGGCAAACCACTCAACCTGAGGGTGTGTATAGTGACAGGAGGTTCTGATCAGATGGAAGAATCATTAAAGCTTGCCAAGAAGCCGCATATAGTAGTGGCAATGCCGGGTCGTTTGGCTGACCACATAACCGGATGTGACACATTTAGTCTGAAGAAGATCAAATATCTGGTTTTGGATGAAGCAGACAGGTGAACTTTTATGATTTTGGAAGTATAATTAAAATGATTTCTTGATGAAAACTATTGTTAAATTTTTCTCAAATAATTTACATTTTTCATGGTCATACAACCGACTAAGTTGTTTTATGCCCTAATGTAGTGCGTACCTTCAAATTTAAGTGTTAATAACTGTCATTAATTTAAATATAAATTAAAAATGCATAAATTGATTAAATTAAATTTAATTGATTTAACAAAACATGTATTAACACTAACAATTTATTTGCAACATTATTAAGCTCACAATGAACTTAAAATTGAAAAGAAAAACACATATATAATTAAAAGAATCAATCAATAATATATATTCTAAGAAATAAATAATTTTGTGACTTACAAAAAAAAATGGGTCTTACTATTAAGCGATTCAATAAAGTTATTGCATTATTCAGTAATTCCTAATAACCAACATATATGCAATTTTTGCTGTGTAAATATGTAATATAAGATTTTTTTATGAAAATTGCAGGCTGTTCAGTGAATCCTTTAAAGAAGACCTTGAGACTATATTTGGTGTGCTGCCACAAACACGTCAGAATCTACTGTTCTCTGCCACCATCACTGAAGATGTCAAGCAGTCAACACTGCTTTCATTGAATAATGAAGTGAGTTCAAAAATTTCTTAGAAAATTCCACATAGCATATTTGTCGCAATTTTAAACAATTTTCAGTTACCTATTTATTCATTAACATATAACCTATTATTTTAAATGATGGGAGGTGAAAACTAGTCTCTCTTTTATAAATAAAAGTAAACAAATCCCTATGCATTCTTAAGTCATTCATTTAATTGTGATATAACTTTGTGTGTTTTATTTGAAAAATCTTGAAACTATTTTAAGCACTTTTTGCTAAATGTGGCAATACAATTGATGTCTGATGAAGTTAGTATATAATAATATTATTTATATGCTTAATCATACATTTAAAAAAATCATTCATTTTATGAAAAAAAAGTTGTTTTGAAATGGTACTCATGAGATATTTATACTGGAATACACATTAGATTGTGCCAAGCCAAGCTAAAAGTGCAATAAAGAAAGTGGATAAATGATAAACGTGAAGTCGTCAGCGATTTAGCTTGGTTGGTAAAGAGTCTGGGTGCTTTACCAGAAATACGCAGGTTCGAATCCTGCAGCGCCAAAATGTTTTCTCCATTTATCTAGAAAAAACGTTACTATATTCAGTATTTTTCATAAACATATTGTATACAGCGTGTCGTTACCACCGCGACAATAAATGAACACACATATAGAGGATAACTTTTTAAAATTGTATTAAACATTTACATTCTTTGAACATCAATATTTACGCAGTTATTAAATTTTCCAAAACAAACAATTTTAGAACACCCTTACGTATAAAACATATGAATGGGTTGAATGAACTTAAAAGAGACAAAACATGTTAGAAGGAGAGGCTTGTAATGCAACGCTGTGGCGCGAGTTGTATAGGATGTTACAAATTTTGTTTCTTATTTACTTTTTTTAATTATTAATATTTTTTTATGATTATTGGCAAGTAGCGTTAGACGTGTGTTCATTTATTGTCAATCGCGATGTTAACGACACGCTGTATAGTAGCAATTTCTGCAAAATTATTTCTTGTCTATAGTTTAATTTTTTTAATTAATAAAGTAATTTAATGATTTAATCTATTGCACTGCCTAATTTACTTCCAGCGGCTCACCACATGGTCTGAGACCGATGAACAGCTCACGGTGTCGACGCTGGACCAGCGCTACGTGGTCTGCCCCGCTTATGCCCGCGATGTGTACTTGGTTCAGACCCTGCGCAAGTATCGGGAGACAAAGCCGAGTGCACACGTTATAGTGTTCACCGACACTAAAAAGTGAGTCATATCTTCATTTAGCAGATTGTTTTGCACATTGCCATTTCCAGTTGTGAAAATTTCTAACTTTTGAAACTATTTATCGCTGAGTTGCAAGGTCCTTCTGTTACATAATCATCGTCATTTCAGCCCGTTCTATTGTTCCATTGGCCTCCACGAAGTGCCACTAAGAACTCTCCTGAGCGACCTGCATCAGTAAATGTAATTTCCCTCCCTAATATCTAAGGTTGTAGTGTAGAAAATTGCCCTATAAACATCGGGTTAACTATTTTGGTTGGTGTACGTCTTTCGAGACGAAAACCGACGCGTTTTCGTAAAAAAAATAGTAACAAAATCAAGCTACGTGCAAAGATCTTTCGTAAAAAACAAAATTTACGAAAAGCGCAACCTTTTCGTCTCCGTTTCGTAAAAAAAATATCAACAAAAACAAGCTACGTGCAAAGATCTTTCGTAAAAAAAAACAAAATTTTACGAAAAGCGCAACTCTTTCGTCCCGCCCACCGCCCAGGGAGTGCCAGGTGCTGTCGATGATGATGAACGCCATCGGCATGGACAACGTGTGCCTGCACGGGTTCATGCGGCAGCGGGAGCGCGTGGCGGCGCTCGCCCAGTTCCGCAGCAACCTCAAGTGCACCCTGGTGGCCACCAACGTGGCTGCCCGCGGCCTCGACATCCCCACCGTCCACCTGGTCGTCAACCACAAGCTGCCCCTCGAGCCCAAAGAGTACGTGCACAGGTGGGTGATGAGCAACTCTTTGGCCAGGCTCTATTAGGTTAAATGATTTGCCTTTCTATTGAAGAAGGCGATAGAAGATTTGAACAGTCTCGCATAGTTCTTTTTTAGGGTTGTGTATCCAAACGGTAAACCGGGACCTATTAACTCGGCTGTCTGTTACACTGACAGTAGAAATTTTCACAGATTATATATTCCTGTTGCCGCCATAACATCAAATACTACATAGCAGAATAAATAATATTTAAGTGGGGCTCCCGTACAACAGACATAATTTTTTTGCCGTTTACATAAGTACGGAACCTTTCGTGTGCGAGTCCGGTTGGCTGGTTTTTTTCTACCTAACGTCAAGCAGGCCTAGAGCCCAAGGGTACGTGTACAGGTTTGTGATGAGTTTGCTTTAGAAAAGTGGGTTATATGTAGGTCCCCCTATACGGTGGATTGTCCCAATCCTACGAATTTAAACTTCTTAAGAAGAAAGAATTTAACTTCTGCGTTTCATTTGGTACGTTAGGCAACCTCAAGTGTTGTAGATGTCCATGGGCCGTGGGCTTCACTCAGTATCAGGTGAAACACCTGCTCGCTATGTCACGCATTTCAATTGTTGTATTTTTCTTGAACACAGAGTCGGTCGCACGGCGAGGGCTGGTCGAAGCGGCCTTGCGATATCCTTGATCACGCCTTACGACATTCTACGCCTGGGCGAGATTGAAGATCACATCAAGACGAAGCTCAGCGAGTATAAGATAGACGGTGAGGGACATTATCGGATTTCTTATTTATTTAAAACTAGCGACCCGCCCCGGCTTCGTGGTGTTTGTTATTTTAAGGTATTTTTTAGTATGGTGTATGCAATAAAGATTATTTATTCATTCATTGATTTGATATATCTTGTAAGGTATAGCCAGCGTTTGCAATGTAAGCGCTCAAAAATATTTTTTTTGGACACTACGAATCTTTGAATTTTTTGGCTTGTCTCTACTATAATATTATACAGGTATACTACATAAAAACCTTCAGCTTTAATCACTCTATCTATTGTATTATCTTATTCTAAAGTGCATTAAAATCCGTTGCGTAGTTTAAAAGATACAAAGCGTACAAATAGCAAAACTTTTTTTTATACTATGTAAAGATGTGTAGAAAAAGTACATAAAGTTTTTGGCCGCTGTGGGAATCGAACCCATGTCTTCGGTATTCACGCCCAGACGCTTTAAGCACTAAGTAACGGCAGATAGCCACACCGACACGATAATTATAAAAAAATATTAACGTTAAAAGAAATACATAATTAAAAAAATAAAACAAAATTTTTAACATCCTATACAACTGACTGAATCGTACATTCAGAAACTTTTTCAATCGTTGCTACAGTGTCGCATTGCAAGTCTTTCCTTCTAACAGTATGTTTTGTCTCTTTTAAATTCATTCAACCCATTCATATGCTTTGTGACCTTTACAAATAAACTTTACGTTACAGTTTTATACGTAAGGATGTTCTAAAATTGTTTGTTTTGGAAAATTGAATAACTCGGTTAATATGGATGTATGAAGAATGTAAATGATTACTACAATTTTAAAAAGTTATCCTCTATACGTGTTCATTTATTGTCGCGGTTGTATGTCCCGCGACGATGTTACTATCTTGTACCTCATTTACCCTACACCATCCCTTAGGTTGACTGGTTGAAAATGCCATTGCCTTTGTACTAGTTTGTGCATAAAGTTTAAATAAGTAAATAGATAAACGACAAGGATGATGATGGGACGGTTCCATCGAGTCCGCCATTGTATTACTACATAATATAAATGACAAAATGATAATAAAACGACGGTTCCTTCCAGACGACGAAGCGGTGAAGGTGTTCACGACGGTGAGCGTGACGCGCCGCGAGCAGGAGGCCCAGCTGGACAACGAGGAGTTCGAGCAGAGGAAGAGGAACTACCGCCACAAGCGCTGGATTATGGCCGGCGTCGACCCGGAGGCTATGGAGCAGGGGTCAGTGTCAGGGTCGGAGGGCGAACGGAGCCGAGTTCAACGACCTCCGTTGTTCGATAGGAATTTGTTACTTGGTTGAAGAAAGCATTGTTAGTAGAGGGGTCAACAACCTCTGATGTCGATAGCAATTTCTCACTACGGTCGACGACCTCTGAGTTTTTATACGAATCATTTCGTAAAGACGTAGTTCTCCGGTCACACAAAAATACAACCGAACTAAGATCATCCTCTTTTTTTGAAGTCTGTTGAGAATATATTATAGTATCAGTTAAAAGGTACATAAACAAACGTGGCTAATTTAGACTAGACCTTCGAGAAGACGATCTAGTTATTGATCATTATTGAACTAGAATTGATAGGTTATCGTATTTTAACATTATTGAGAAAATATTTGTTTAATGCAGATTGGAAGAAATGCGCGGGAGGCGCATAAAGGCGGCAAAGAAGGCGAAACTCGAAAAAATCAAGCAGATCCAGGCGCAGATCAAGAACAATAAAGAAGATGGATTCGACAGCAGTCGTCTGCAACCGCCGATATTAGAAAACATCGACGCCTCCATCAAGGAAGGGTTAAAGAAAGTGAACAAGACGTTGATGAAGAGGGACGACAGGTTTAAGAACGTCATAGGGAAGATAAGTAAGATAAAGCGCAAGGCGGAGAACGTGAAACAGAAGAGCGTAGAAGAGAACGAATCTAAAAAGAAAAAGAAAAGAAAAAACGCCACAGCTAAATGATATTAAACTGTATTTAAGTGTTTTACTGTTTCATTTTTATGTGCATGTCGGTTACAAAAACTCTTCTTCAAATCCCTTATAACTATTTTATTTTAAAAAATAATGATTATACAACTTAGTTACAGATGACTCCCTTAATTTCCTTTGATAAATCAACTCGCACCTTGAAAGCTCTGTTGGAGCAGTTGCTATAGATAGTCTTTGGCGTTGCAGGTCGTGGGTTCTGTGTCACCGGAGTAAAATACCCTAGGTTGTCTTTGTTTACTTTTTGTTTGTGGAATTAATATAACTATGATTGTTTAAAAACTCAACAGGGGTAGAAACCAACAAGCGAATAATCATGTTCAGAGCAGAAATAATACAGTTTTGGAATGATAATAATTTATTTATACATTGTAAAATTACAAAATAAATACAACAGGAATACGAATGTCCATTTAAGCAGCGCGTAGATTCGATGGCAAACGATTTTTGGCACACAAATTAGCAGATGAAGCATCGCGCCTATCGTTAAAATAACGACGATGATGGAATAAAAAAAAACATCACAGCCAGTGCTGCGAATCATTGCAAACTTAACACAGATTAAACAACAATAAATCAAATTTTTCAATCTCAATATTTGAATAGTTATCAAATTGCAGTAGTGTAAAATTTTTGTATGTGTACTTTAAGATATTTAAACTACTTTAAGTATTTTAAAGCAAAATAATGGATACATACAATGTGTTTTGATACCATATTGAGATTTGAAGTTGGAAGTTTGTGGTTCGTCATAAATTGTTTTGATTTAAAAAGTAATATTAAATGCTAACAATGATTAATAAGAGATTAAATGAAAAGTATTGAATCGCCTATATAATTATATTACTAGGCAATAAATATCGCACTTCGACTTTTGGAGACAAACGCTAATTTCGGTTACATTACATAAAAAATTGTTTCTGTCACATGTTTGAAGAAGTGTGCGAAAGAGATAACGCTCTACGATGCCGACATTAGCCTATTGTATCTTTACCAAGGCTATTCATGCAATATTTATCACCACATATGGTATCTATTCTAATAGAATGAATATTAAAAATATAAGAAATGTATAAAATGCCTAGTCTTGTATTAGTCTAGTTCAAAGTTGGTTATGTTTTCTTATCTAATTTTAAAAGATATTTAGAATAAATAATTACAACTAAAATAGTGATAGCAAGGTAGTAGTGCTATCTACAGACAAGTGTTGACAAAAGTAATAAATAATGCAATGTGCAAAATTGTGAAAAGTGATATATAATATTTTTTATTACAGGCACATGGGGTTATAATTGCCATTCTATTATGTTCCTTATAGTGAAGTATAAGACAATAAAAGCATTCCCCTATCTTAGGCACCGTTCTATTTTACGAATGAAGTTGAAGACTTCAATTATAAGAAAATTTGCTACCCCTTCAAATTTCACAAGTGGGTTATTGATCCAATAATTTGCATTTTTTTAAATAATATATTTAAGTAGTATTTTATCATAGACGGAAAGAAGTCGCGAAAGCATTACGTTCGATAAAAATATTATTAAAATTTAATAAGACACTAACAATTGTTGAGCAAAATAATAATATTATAGAAACAAAACAAAATAATTAACATTTAATGTCTATGTCATATATGAACGACGATGTGTTAATGATAAAATGCACCTTTTTTTAAAAGCATTGTCTTCATATAAAATAAATTTATGTTAGATGTAACATTTTTGACCAGAAAAGCAATCTTTCCTTTTTATCTCTGTTGATATAACTCATCAGTATATTTGAGTCAAATTGAATTAATTAAAACCAAACTTCATCTTTAAGTATGCATAAGATTGTGTTATGCCAATTGTCTCTGCTTGCTACATACAGCTATCGGCATAAGCTTGAATATAAGTCTCAATAATAAATATAAACAATTAAACACAATGATCATGTTTCTAGTTTTAACTTTGTCATGATTTGAGACAAAAAGTTAAGTGAACAGTTAATGATATTTAGAAAGGTATTTTTAAATATTTATATATTATTTATTTAAGCTACATATAAATCGCTTTCGCTCCTATATGCCTTAGTCTTTTAGTGGGGTACTAAGCATTGCAGAACATGACAATGCCATTTTTTTCTACGAACACTATACTTCATTAAATGATGAGCAATACAATTTGTACCATAAATTAATAGTAACATAATTTCTTTAGTGGTGTATGATAAACTGCAAATGCCAGTATAATCAGCACCACATTTAGTTTAGTAAATACCCAATGAGAAAGTATAAGGTAAGATTGACTCGCGAATTAACAATAAGAATTCCTCTGAAGATTATGGTGACTTGTTTGAAAACAAAAAAAAACTCATGGTATTATTCTTTTCTTAAATCACTTTGTCCATATTATTCTTAGACTTTTCTTGCTTTAATAATTATTTCAAACTTTACTTACCAATCGTTTTTAAATATATACATATAATGACAGCAATATACAGCGTGTCGTTACCATCGCGACAATAAATGAACACACATATAGGGCATAACTTTTTAAAGTTGTATTAAACATTTAAATTCTTTAAACATCAATATTTACAGAGTTATTAAATTTTCCAAAACAAAGAATTTTAGAACATCCTTACCTATAAAAGCGTACCGTAAAGTTCATTTGTCAAAGTCACAAAGCATATGAATGGGTTGAATGAATTTAATAGAGACAAAACATACTGTTAGAAGGAGAGGCTTGTAATACGACGCTGTGGCGCGAGTTGTATAGGATGTTACAAATTTTGTTTCCTTTTTACTTAATTAGTTTGTTTGAAAAATATTTTTTTTTAATTATGGATTTTGTTTAACGTTAATATTTTTTTATGATTATTGGCAAGTAGCGTTAGACGTGTGTTCATTTATTGTCGTGATGGTAACGACACGCTGTATATGTATGTAGGCAATTCAGAAAACTTTCCAGCTCAATTAAATGAAGAATAATTTAAAATGTGCCTTAAATAAACTTTAGTTTTGCTTGTGCCATACATTCCTCCTCATTTAACAAAGCAGCCAGGTGACTGAAGTTGAGTTCACTCCGACATCTGCAGCAACGAGTTGATGGTAGCATCTTTGTTTCCGTTGTTCGCCTCCAGCACTGACTTGATCACGTCCTTGTCGATGCTCGGGAACATCTCCTCAATCTGATGGTGATTGCATATAATTTTTATTCTTATTTGGATTTAACATCAATTTATGAATTATCAACATGATATCGTGATGCCTATTATAATTGCAATGATGTCCTGATGTATCATAATTAAAACATAAATATCCTGAACGTAGATTTAAATGTTTGAGAACCGGTGGTAGATTTGACATGAATTAATCAAATCGAATTTTTGTTGGTTGTCATGGGTTGAATAGTACACTCTTGTAAAACACGAAAAGTATTTAAAAAAATGTATGATTACCCTTTTATTTTTTTCACTTACCTCCAGTTACCTGACTCACCAGATGAAATGAAAAATTATTAATATTTATATTTAATTCCAGTATACTTCAGAGTTTCTGGTATTGTCCTGTTGAAGGAGGCCCATTAGTTAGATTTAGACGTTGGCGACTGCACAAAGAAGCAATAATGGATGGGGTTAGGGTGCAATATGGCTTGTACCTGTTGCACTTTTTATTAGTCTCGGGGGCTTTATCCTTATTACTCAGACATGCATTCTTGATCGGCAATGACCGATCGATATTATCCCTCTACTGCCCGGTTCCTATATTCAACGAACGGCCATTAGTTACATTGTCACTATGAAAGTTATGAAGTAATGTTATGTATCGGACCCGGTCTTAAGAGCACATCCCTAACCGCTGTTGAGTTATTAATGGTTGGACAGATGTGTCACCTGTTGCAGTTGCTCGGCGGAGATCTGCTGGGGGGGCTGCTGCTGCGGGTGTGGGGGGTGGGGGTGGGTGGCCGCGAGGGGGCCGGGGTGCGGGGCGGGGTAGACGGGCATCGCCGCGTAGCCCATGCCCGTGCTCGGCACCACCAGCACCGGCGGGAAGGTCGCCACCGCCGCCGGGCCCACCTGCGATGCAAAAGCGACCTTATTGCTGACGTTTTAGGATCATTATATTTTTGTAGTTTGCTAATCTCTGCGCTTGAATGAAACATGACTTCCGTACCCAATGGGTAAAACGGGACCCTATAACTAAGACTTCGCTATATGTCTGTCTGTCCGTCTGTCACCAGGCTGTATCTGAACCGTGATAGTTACAGTTGAAATTTTCACGGATGATGTATTACTGTTGCCGCTATAACAACAAGTACTAAAGAACAGAATAAAAAAGTATTTAAGTGAGTAACAAATACAACTATTGGTATGGAAAATTCGTGCGCGACTCCGTTCGCAATTGCCCAGTTTTTCAAATTTTCTTTGTTTCATTCGCATTCGGCGCCTCATTGACTGTGGTTGCCCAACCAGCGCAGATCCAACATTTGGGGGTGACGATAGGATTACGAAAAGAATTCGTGAACATTTTTTGTAAAAATCTGCCGGATTAGCGCCGGAATTGCGCCGTAAGATACATAACAAAAGATTCGCCAAGCATTGCTTTAAGTGCGAAGAAACAATTTACATAAATTACGTTAAGATTTTCGTCGGTGCGACCATCGGCCGCTTAGCTCAGCGGTTAAAGTGTCATGGCGCGAATACGGACGACATGGGTTCGATTCCCGCTGCAATGAAAAACTTTTCGTCCATTTTTTCAACAAATTTTAATGTTTAAAGATCATTATAAGATCCTTTCGTAGTTGTATCATCGCTTCTATATGCATCTGTTCTTGTTAAGCGACCGCATTTTATAAGGCGTGTATTGTGTCTTTCCACGGAATGCGAACGAAACCTTAAAACCTCTGGGCATGGAAATCTCCTTCGTATTTATACAAAGGTAAGGTTCTATTTGCCATCAAACGGAAATAAGCCCTAATTAAGGACGGAACGCTGTATGCACCGACGACGCGCTAATTGGAAAACCACGGAGCTATTTGCTATTTCTAATACGTCAATTTCATTACGTTCAGTGACCGAACATAGCACGAAAGTCGGGTAATTTATTTAGTTAGTAGCAACAACAGAGTAGACACATTCCCAAGTGGAAAAAACAAAAAAACAAAACAGGATTGTTGTCACTCCAAATATAGGTACAAACAATATACAAGATATTAAAATTTGTAGAAAAAGTACGAAAAGCTTGTCGCCGCTGTAGGAATCGAACCCACGATTTCGGCAAAGGATACAACTATGGATTTCAATGTTTAATCTTAAGTGCAGAGATTAGCACTTTATAAATTTAAAACATACATCATAAAAGAGAATAACAAATTAAGAAGTAAATAAAATAAAATTATAATTAAAAGAGGTTAAGTATTAAGTTTTAATTAATTAAAATTAAAGGAGGAAAAATGTCATTACATCTACGGCGGTGAAGGAAAACAATTTGAGAAAACTTGCGTATTTTCGAAATAATAACAAAAAAGGAACATTTCGAAGATATGGGAAGTCTGCCAATCCACAGTCGGGCCGCATGGTCTATGATGGAATTATGCCCTCATCCGCTCTGTACATACAGCGTGTCTTTACAATCGCGACAATAAATGAACACACATATAGAGGATAACTTTTTAAAATGGTATTAAAGATTTACATTCTTCAAACATCAATATTTAACCAGTTATAAAATTTTCCAAAACAAAGAATTTTAGAACACCCTTACATATAAAACTCTAATGTAAAGATCACAAGACATATGAATGGGTTGAATGAATTTAAGAGACAAAACATACTGTTAGAAGGAGAGGAGACTTCTAATGCGACGTTGTGGCAACGAATTTTACTTAATTAGTTTGTTTGAAAAATATTTTTTTAATTATGGATTTTTTTTAACTTTAATATTTTTTATGATTATTGGCAAGTAGCGTTAGACGTATGTGTATTTATTGTCGCGGTGGTAAAGACACGCGGTATATATAGGCTTATGTTACATAACATCTATCACACACATTAAATACCTACATAATAAAATATATTTAGATAGGATACAATAGTTAATCAGCAGTCTGACCTTTTGACACCTTAAATAATTTGAAAGAATTTGAAAAGCCATTTGACAGCTGATTAGTTGACTTCTACGACGACCAGTCTTTCAGAAGCCGGGCGTGAATGTTACATTGGAACTGTACAACTGGTTATTAACTGCACGAAAACGATATTCAATTGGTCTTTAGTCGTCCGTGATAGCATATCTACTTACGGAGTAGCTGAGCACCAGATTGATCATGCCCTCCTTCCCATCGCCCTGTTTGCCGTTCAGCGGGTACCAGTTCTCGTGGGTCTCGCCCTGAAATTAATTGTCACAGCATACAAGCTCTCTAGTATTTTTAACCTGAACTATAAAGTGAAAGACGCTGACAGAAACGAAGTAAATATTTAGGAGAAATAGCATCGCATTTACCTCAAACGGTGTGTGTGGGAGTGTCGGTGTTAGTGTTAGTTGTGTGTGTGTGTGTGTGTGTGTGTGTGTGTGTGTGTGTGTGTGTGTGTGTGTGTGTGTGTGTGTGTGTGTGTGTGTGTGTGTGTGTGTGTGTGTGTGTGTGTGTTTGTTTATTATTTCGTATTCTTTGTTTATTGTACATCATGTTGTTTTTAATTTTTGCAACTGTTTCTTCTCACATAACTAACTTACGTTGAGTACAGCCTGAGGTATGTTGATGTGGGTCCAGGCGATCAGCTCGTCCATTGTGAAGGAGCACTCGTCGAATATCTCCAGGTATATCGAGTTCACACCGGGCGGCAGGAGACTGAGGAGTGATGCACAGCGATAAAGAGCAATTTTATGGTTATATACAGGTACGCTTTTGTAAGTGTATCCATTTTTTTAAATTAAATTCTTGACATAAATAATGTTATATAAAAAATTAATAATATTTAAAATCACTTGTAATTAATTAATTACCTTTATAACATACTGAACAACAACAACTCATTTATATTACGCGCGATCATTCATAACTAAGACGCACACAAGTTCGTTTCAAAAGTATACGACGCATTTATGAATGACTACCGCATTTTCAACAAGTTCTGTTTTTTAGGGAATAGAATTGCAATTTTTTTTGGAAAAAAAGTTTGTTTTTATTCCAATGAACAATTATACTACCGAGTTTGAACCTCCTGTGTGAATTTGGGCACCTTTAGAAAAGCCACCCGGTATTTGAATAAACTTTATATTACGTTTCCTTTAAACATTTATCTTTTTGACATTACCCGCCTTTGCACCTAGGCCCCTTTGCTGTAGAGGTTACATCGTTTGTAACCTCTACAGTAAAAGGGCGAAACTTAAGTTTGAACTTGGTTCAATAACAGGGTCAATCAAGGCTTCAGAATAAAGAGTGTTCCCTACTGAAAGTACAACATTTATTAGGCACAATAATTATATGGTACCTAGTAAACTCAGTCAAGAACTGGACTGGTCTAATACCTACGCGGCGAGGACATTATCCAGCATGTAGTCTCAGGGCGAAATACTCAGCAGAGCTTGGTCCCCAAGTAGATATTTGGGTTAAACATTTTGAAGCACTACTCACCAATGTATGACTTTGTTCCATCGCGGGGTCCTACCACCGCTGGGGTCCGTGTGGGTCTCGTATATGCAGTGGCCGACGCGCAGACGGACGTATGGGTCCATTCGGGTGAGGCCTGCGGAGGTCAACTATTTTAGAGCCACGTTTATTTTTTTTATGCGAAAAGTTGCCAAACGAGCAGACGGGTCACCTGATGTTAAGTGGATACCGCCGCCCATGGACATCCGCTACACCCGAGGGTTGCAGATGCGCTGACAACCTTTTGAAAATTGGGCTCCGGCTACCTCACTCACCAGACGAATCGCGAAAGTATTTGTCATACGTCCACTTTACGCTGGTCTTTTGTGAGGTCGTGGTACTGCCTACTCATTCATGCAACAGCCGAGGCTGCTGCGTGGCCCTACCACCGTAAAAACAGCTTCCGCCACACAAATGTTGGCAACAGTAAGCAAAAACATCAGTTAATACAAGAAGCCGCTATTATGACGCCTAAGCTTGGCTTCGCCGAAGCACGACATTGTATAGGGCGTGACCATCAGCTTGTAATAGGGCGGGTCTTTTTTACCATAATAGATCACTACTCCGCCCCAGTTTTCCCAAAGCAGCAGTACTTCCCCGGACCAAAGAAAAAATGACAAAAAGGGGATACATACAGAGTTTCTTTCGCCGGTTTCTTCTCCGTTGGAGAAGGATAGAGGAACGAAACGATGGTAGATTTAAAAAATGACTACCGCTATATGAAATGTATATTTCTTAATTCGATGATTTGATTTGACCATTTGTCCGAAAAATAAAAACTAATTTTATTACTTTACGAATTTGAAACAACCAAATGGATAATTATTTATAATTTTTAATAAAAAGTTAGGTCCAAGAAAATAACAATCGATGATAGCGATTAAGAAGAGAGTGAACTATCCAAAATCTTAGAGTCCAAGAGGCCGTTCTGCTTGTGCTTCGCTGTTATATACACACAGTGTAGATTCTAAAGTTACTATTACCTATGCGACAAGTTTGTTACAGAAGTTACTAAAAGTTTGTTCTAGCGCAATTTGCTTACGTAAAACAAGAGAAAAGACGTTGAAAAAGGAACACTATACACATACAGAAAGGCACGGCTTTATATTTAAGGGGTGAGAGGTTTTTGTTGGGTTCAGTCTCTTAAAAAAGTTGGCAACAAATTCGCAGCAAAGGGTATTAGAATTTTTTAAAAAACAAACTTTACACTTTAAAAAAAAACTGGAAACACTAACAAATCCGTTGACTAAATTGAGATAATTACGTTGTAACATATGATTAATAAGATTAAGATTAGAGCCCGAAGCCGAAACGTGCCACTTGTGTCACGTGAGAATCATTAAGAGGTTTCCGGTTATAAAATCAGCAATCAGTAGCACGTGCTCTACGCATAGATTTCTGTATAATCTCACTGTGGTAGGACCACGCAACAGTTTTCACTGTTGCACGAATGTGCAGGTCCGTCCGCGTAAGTACCACGACCGCACAGAAGATCATACAGTACATAAGTAGAAGTGACACAGTTCTGCGTTTCGCCTGGTGAGTGTAGTGAGGTAGCCGAAGCCCACTTTATTTAAAGGTGTCAACGCATTTGCAACCCTACGGGTGTTGCGAATGTCCATGGGCAGCGGTTATCACTTAACATCAGGTGAAACGCCATCGTTTGCCACTTTCTAACATAAAAAATAAATCTTATATGGCAAGCGAACTGGCGGTTCACCTGATGTTAGATTTTAGTTGGCCCGCGACTTCGTCCGCGTGGAATTTAAAATAAAAAAAAAACACTGAAATAAAAGTAGCCAAGTTATTCCTTATTACATAAGCTATCTGCCAGGGAACGTCCAAATCCGGGCCAGCCGTTTCAGAGATCAGCCGGAACAAACAGACCGACAGACAGAAAAACATGTCAAAAATGTTATTTTGGTATATATAACGTGTATACATCATATGCATTTAGTAAAAAGCGGCTATTTTAATATTACAAACAGACGCTCGAATTTTATTTATCTGTATAGATTAAGGAGTAACATAGGCTAATTTTAGTTAAGAAATTTTATTTATTGTGTATTAATACATATAATATAATTCCACGTGGACGAAGTCGCGGGTTCAGCTAGTTATTAATATAAATCTAATAACTAATACTGTAATAGCGGGCAAAGAAACACGAAACAAGCGTGTCCAATTTTTCATTTAAATAATGTAATTGTACTAATACCATTATTAAAATATCTCGGTACGGTACAAATATTTACACGCTAACTATTCGGTTTAGCGGATTTTGAGTAATAAACATATGTGCTAATTAACATAAACACGTCTTGGTGCCTTGAAATGTTTTGCGGCGTCGTCGAGTTTTGTGGAAATTAAAAAAAAATAAACCAAGGAAAAAAGTGCACGCAATGACATAGTCTGTGTTATTATTTTATATATTTAAAAAGCATAAAAACCTCTTTGTTAGAACTATGTCATATCAGTAAATAAAATTTTGTATAGACAATACAATCAAAGTTACTCAAAGCGCTGCGATGGGGTAGAAAGAGATATTTTTTTTTTATGTGAAAATGTAGCAAACGAGCTGGCGGTTCACCTGATGTTAAGTGATAACCGCCGCCCATGGACATTTGCAACACGCTTAGGGTTGCAAATGCGTTGCCACCTATAAATAAAGTGGGCCCCGGCTACCTCACTCACCGAACGCAGAAGTGTAACACTTCTACTTTACGCCGATCTTGTGAGGTCGTGGTACTTACCCGGACGGACCTGCCCGTTCGTGCAACCGCAAAGACTTGCGTGGTCCTACCACAGTAATTCTTCATAGTATTTAATTACAATGGGAATTTTGGCTTTTTGGCGTACAATGAAAACAGTGGCATTGCATCACATGTTGACATCCCCAGCTATGAGGCCACTTTTTCTATTTACGAGGGCTGAGAGTAATTAAAATAATGATAGATCAGTACTATGTATATACACACATATAAAAAGGCTGATATAGGATAATGGGAACATTGAGTCAAAAGCGTCTGGAAATAAGATTACTCACCATAGTTTTTGGAGAGTTTTGCCTGAGCAATTGTAATACTAAGTCTAGCAGTCAATGGTGGACCAGCAGCTGGCACCTGTTAGTTTAAAGATACAAGAATACAAAATAAATATTCATCTTAATACAATTCTATTAATATACTTTGTGTATCTTCTTATGCTAAATATCAGATATGCAGAAATAGTTCCTTTCTCATAACGCCATATATTATGTGCTATTGGAGCATTATCAGATATGATGACACTTGAGTAAAAGTAGATTGAGCTGAGTAGCAAGCAAATTTGATGAGAAGACAGCACATAAGGGCATCTCATTTGCATAAAGAATCTGCATTATAAAATGTATGCAAAAGAAGGCAAATTATAATTTTACTGAGCACACTTTGAGGTAAGAATTAGGAATAAAATCTAATAAAACTTATAAGAGCTTAATTGGATTTTTTTTCCTCTTTATATATAATTATATATTTGGTATTATTTCAAATTTGAATCTCCTTATTTTTCCAATAAAAATGTATTTCACCACCGCTGACGGAAACAAAACCAGCACAAAATTTTTTATAAGTATCCCTTAAAGTTAGAGATTGATGGTGAAACTGGCATTAGTGTCTTAACATTTTTGCAGTTGGGATTAAATTTGTATTTACTATCTTGTTACATATAGAAAAGAGGTTGAAAAATAAAGTACAATGATATGAGATGAAAAGAGTGATAAAAATAATGCTACAAGCAGTTTCCATATATATGAGTAATTAGAGCAATTATAAAAAGATGTAGTAACTATTAGACTTAAAATCTATATAATCATAGAAATAATACTTAGTGAGTAATCATCATTAATTACTATCTGTAGTTAGCACACCTACTGGCTCTAGACATTGAAATTATTAATGAATATGTAAATTCAGAAATAAGTATGATCTAAAAATACAAGCTTGTTCTTGTTCAGATGCTAGATGCTATATTTGCATATTGATATAATATTTGACATATTAAATACAGCTAGTCTCGATCAAAATTACATTAATTTATTAACATAAATAGTTTTACTAACAGTAGCACCACAAAGTTGTTGTTGCAAAGCTAGAGCAGCCTGATAGTCTGCATCAACATTTTCGACTGTGCCATCTGCTCTTAGGAAGCCTGCAGGAAGTGGCCCCAGCAACACCTACAAACGAGATTGTATATTAATTTTAAAAAACATGAACATATCATAGAAAAAGCAATTTTTCTAGACTAGAACATACTTTATTGCACATGAAAATTAAAGAGTTATTAAAAGAAAATTTAATACTATTATTACTATTATCATGACTTTTCTAATACATAATAATTAAATCAATAGTAATTGCTTATATATAATCTTTGTATGTATAAGCAGTAATTTTAATAAACATTGTGAAATGTCGTTAACATACGAGTTTTGTAGTGCCTTATATCTTTGAGATAACCGAAACCGGTCTAAAATAACAAGATGGGCCATACTCTTCTAGAACAAATAAATACGCAATTATGAAAAAATAATGACATCTTATATTCTGTTGCATTGGTTTCGATCAATACACTTAAGGGGCATTGTACTGGTATAGATAAGATTATTTCCAATTATGAACGACGCAAAAATATGAATCACTGTCTTTGCGATCATAAATAACATTCGCAGTACAATAATAATAACTTATAAAATGTCATATCTTACTCTACGTCGGCGTTCCTCATTTCTATCCGTAGGCAATGTAGAAGTCATGTTTTTTCTTCGATTTGGTTATAAGCAAAGTTAATTATTTTATGAAAGCTTTCTCGTGCGTAGAACACAATCGGAAATTGGAGTCTTGGAGTAGCCAGCCAATTGTCACTCAATGACATTAAATACTACACAGATGACAGTTCACAGATGGCCAATCCCAGCTCCAACAATACAAGTCAGTAACAGTATAGACATAGATAAGACATAAATTATTAATCACTCTTTGAGTAAAAGTATTATGTACTGAAATATAAAGTGTGTGAGTATAAATTATGTCTAAGAGTACAGTACAAATTAACAGTCTATGATACAGGTAGAGGAAGTAATAAACATTGTTCATAAACAAGACGAGAATTAAGACAGTTGTTAAAAGGCTAGTAGGTAACATAGAATATATTCGTTTTTTTATGCAGTATTTTCAATTAGACATTGACAATTTCGTTGAAAGAGGTCAGGCGGACTCACGAGAAAAAGGAAGCTGGAGTTCTGGAGTGCACGATGACTATCTGATGACACCGTCCCCTCTATTGCATCTCCGCGACCTCTGTTAATGGAAGACTGGAGTTCTGGAACGTGCACGATAAAAGTTCGAAAGCATACCTAATTCTTGATCGATAGTGCGACGTATTCAAACGAAGTAATAATGTCGCAATTGCGATTTAATCACGACACATAAGAATGTCGAACTATCATCTACTTTTCGTAAATCATGAAAACAATTATTTTACAAGAATTATTAAAATCACACATGATTTACGAAAATAATTAATTCACGAAAACCATTAAGCCTTGAAGATTAACGCTCGATTTCTGAGACACTGATGCCCGGTTTCTGAAGATTATGATATTCTTAATGATCAGAATGATTAATTCAAAGAGTTTAACCATCCTTTTAGCCACTGGCACGCCAGCGCCACGCGTTGTCAAATCGGTGTTAGGCGCCAGCGTCAACGCGAAAAATAAAATGTCATTATACCGCTTCCGACTTTGGCGATAAAACGATTGCCATTCGCAAACTACAAATACTATCCCAAAAAACGGTCTACAAATACTATCTCAGTTACTAAGCTGAATAACTAAGCAATCTAATTATCTAAAAATAAAGAGTTATAATTTTAATTTGAAACTCCAAAAAATATATTAAACTTGAAAAACTGTGAAGAAAACTGATATCTCTTAACAAAACATTTATTTGACTAAAACCCTTAAACTTTATCATCCCTTTTAACAATATTAAAATAGACTAGATTAAATATCCTTTACAACAATATCAGAATCATTTTAAAACTTACTTTAAAATTTATGCGGCCTTGCGTGCCTAGTTGGAGTGAAAATGACAGCCATTTAAGGTCTCGTTCAAACGAAGTTGGAAAATTAAACAACATATTTTTCAGAGTAATTTTTAATGGCCAAATTATAATAAATAAAAAATAAAAAAAATTAATTTTGTAAGTAATTTCACTTGTTACAAGTTATTATTAATTATTTTGAAACAATGTTACGTCTATAATAATTTACTGTGGGTCGACCACGCAATTCTTCACAGTTGTACGAATGGTCAGGTCTGTTGGGGAATTACCGCGACCTCACAGAAGACTGGCGTGAAGTGGCTGTGGAAGTGTAATACTTTTGCGTTTTGCCTAGTGAGTGAGCCGGGGCCCACTTTATTTTAGACACGTGGTGGCAACGCATCTGCAATCATGTTGCAAAAGTCCATGGACGGCTGTGTTCACTCAACATCAGGTGAACCGTCAGCTCCTTTGCTACAAAACAAATTACTCCAGTTACCTCAATCACCAGCCGAAACGCAGAAGTATAACGTTTCCACTGCACGTCAGTCTTCTGTAAGGTCATGGTATTTACCCGGATGGACCTAGGGAGAATTAAATTGTTTAAAGAGTTCGTTAATTGGTCATCGGGATCGTCTAAAACGTTTATAGGTCGAAAGTACGGTCCGAAGGGCGCGAATGGAGACTGAAAGCGTTTACCCGGTGAATTTCATACAAAAAGAAAACGTCTTAACGACGCTTCTTTAAGAGGGTGCTGAGGTGACATAGTACTGATTTTAAAGTTGCAATGTAATTCAGCGTTCCGCATAATACCAAAGGGTACCAGTTTCCTGACTAAACAATCAGTTTTGGATCATTGGAAGTGTTTTCTAATATTAAGCGGGAATATGCGCATGATCAAAAACGATCTAAAAAAGTAATCAAAAACGATCTGGACCGCGTGTGCCAGACGGCCTTTGAATCTCTTACGTTTTTTTAAATTATTTAACCCTAGTTTGCATAATATGATCGCATGTTACCTAATTAATTAAGAAACTTTTAGACTTTTAGCTTTAGAAGATAAATGATCTTCGTGAATTGATTATTTTCGTCAATCTGGGGTTTCGTGAATCATATAATTCTCATTTAAGTAAGTGTCGTGATTCAATCGCAATTTCAATAAGGCGAGGTTCAAATCAATCAAATCTACGCCTGCCTGCGTACTTTTTCTTCCAATGTGACTATCGAACCCGCCGGAGTAAAAGCAAGAGCTGTTAAAATGGCGGTATAACAAATAATGAACAGTGTATATGGAGAAATCCGCTAGACATAAATCTATAATAATAGTAATTAAAAGCAAACTACACTTACAAAAACCTGTTTCATTTATTACTTCAATTTGTGTCAACTAAACAGCTGTCATTGATTGTCAACGTTAAGTCACTAAAGTCATGCTGTCTGTCAAGACCGTTATCATCTGTTCTTATACTTCAGAAAATTGATTTCATTTAAAAAAAAAACAAGCGTATATAATATTTTTTGACGATTTGTTAGAGCTTGAATGTGTATTTACCATTTATAAGTCATAAATTTTTTCAAATAAATGTAATTAACTCAAATGCTTTTGCAACACTTAAATTGTGCTTTTCGAAATATTGTGAATTTTGGATCTAGTATTGATTTTTTGCTAGTTCTGCGAGTTCTGCGATGGACATCATTAAAACTCCAAAGGTAAGGCATGTATTTGTTTAAAATTTAACTTATATAGCCTAGGAAGAAGTAGGTTTCTATCCATTTTGATTTATATTTGGAAGTAGGTTTCTATCCATTGTTGTTGGGCGTATAATGTCATGTATTTGCGATAAGAGTTAATGTTATTGAAAATTACAAAAGCGTGCTTATTATAACGTATTTAACATTATCAGTTGTTTACCCAGACTATTTGTTTACACAAAATATTTGAGGGCACTGGTTGATATTGAACTTGGACCAGCTGTGTTTGTCTATTTTGTAATTATTGTCTGTCTGAAGTAAAGTGCTGCTCTAGAAAGGTGCCATCATTACATATTTATCTGTAATAATATTGATAATTAACAATCCATAATGTTGAATTCTCACTTATATTGACATTTTACTTAACAAACTCAAGTTTGTTTGTTTGGCCAATGCCATTCACCAAAGTTATTAAATTAATGAAATCAAAAAAAAAACGAAACTGAGGAGCAAAACAGTTTGGGAGTTAACTAAGAAATTCTAATTATTATCTAGAATATTAAAGATTTCCCATTGAAATTTTAAATGGGTTTAAAAAAAATTGAAATATTGAACTTACACTTATTGTTTGATCCATGCATTTTAATGAAGAATGTTACTGATTGTAATTCAGCTGATGTTTCAAATGAATTCTTAGCTTACACAGAATGTAGTTTAAGAAACTGCGTGAGACTGCCACTGCTTTATTTTAAATAATGAGTTACAAGATTTGTTTCATTTGTTTAAAGAACTGCTAATCTTGATCTAATTATTGGAAGTCAAATAGATTGAATTTTCAAATTCAATCTATATTTTTTATAAGTAAATTCCGGCTTCTGTTTTCAGCATTGAATTCTACAAAGTTATAAACAATTTTCAATACAAATTATCTCTTCCTGTTTTTCCCTAAATGTTTTTAATGTATAATGAAAATTATAAGAATATTTGCTATATTTATTTCTTTGAAATTCTTACTGACCAATAGAAACTTTAATACTCAGCTCTGAAACAACAACAGAGCCAGGGGAAACTGAAAATCAGCACTACACAGTCAGCTTTACGCCGGCTGTTGTAGCTTACACTGAGTTTCCTATTATATTTGTACCTTTTGCCAAGGAGCTATTTTTTTCTAAGTAATTTTAATATTCTTTTTAAGTTCTCTTTTTTTGTTTAACACTAAAAATATTGTACATTCTTTTTCTTTCTTAGCAATAATTGATTATTATCTATGAATTATAAAATGAAAGAGATAATTTTATGTGACTTGGTTATATACTTATAAACATATATATAACTATTACGGTGGTAGGGCCACGCAGCAGCCTTGGCCGTTGCACGAATGGGCAGGCCCGTTCGGGTAAGTACTACGACCTCACAGAAGACTAGCGTAAAGTGGAAGTATGACAAATACTTTCGCGGTCCGTCTGGTGAGTGAGGTGGCTGGAGCCCATTTTCAAAAGGTGGTCAACACATCTATAACCCTCGGGTGTAGCAGATGTCCATGGGGGGCGGTATTCACTTACCATCAGGTGAACCATCTGCTCGTTTGGCATCTTTTCACATAAAAAAAAGACTATTATATTTAATTAAATGATCAGTAGCAAATATTTTTTTGTTATTTTAAATTAAATTTACTAACTATTCCAGGCATTTTAAATAAGAGTTATTTACGCATGAACCTCGCGAAACCCGACAGCGCGCATGCTCCGTTGACTTTTGACGTTCAAAAATAAGTTTAATTGCAGCCTCTTAAGGTTCAAATTGTTGGCGTGAAACTTTCCGACCGTTTCTACGACAAACGAAGATTTTAGCGGTTCCGATTTTTGTTAGTTCCTCTCCTGTCATTGTGGGGGAAGGTTCAAGTTTGTGTGATAGGCGGGAAAAAGAATTACATCACAGATTATGAAGTGAATACAGCATTATTTTTTAATGGAATGTCACCAAAGAAGTAAAAAACGATGTTGAGTTTTAATGCGCTGC